GCAGAGATAAAACTTATTAGAGTGCATATCTGAAATGTAACCAAATAATACATTTCAAGTAGAAAAGATAAAGGGAGGGCTAAAATTATGCATAAAAAAAGTTACTGAGGCAATGATCTTGGGAGACTTTTGAGACTCAGACAAAGTTCAATAACTGAAAAGCAGACAGAAGCAGAGATAAAACTTATTAGAGTGCATATCTGAAATGTAACCAAATAATACATTTCAAGTAGAAAAGATAAAGGGAGGGCTAAAATTATGCATAAAAAAAAGTTACTGAGACAATGATCTTGAGAGACTTTTGAGACTCAGAGAAAGTCAAATCAAGGATTAGCTAGGCTGAGTATCACAACTATGACAATGTTACTTCACTCAACCCTTCAAAACACATGTAATAAGTTTAATTTGCCATGGATTAATGTAGGAATACTAATCCTTGCCTTTTATAGACAAAGTTCCTTTGCTCTTTAAAAATATAGTTTAGAAAATACTCAAACAATGAAGAAAAATATAAACATAACTTCCAGATTTTTCAAACAAACTAAAATTACTTTTCTGTGTCTAGCAGACTCAGGAAAAAAAACCTAGCCTAATTTTCAAAAGTTAAAAAAATCTGGAAATCCCTAGTTATTCTATCAGAAATTTTACAAGATTCCTTTCAAGAGAGACAAATCAAAGTTTCATTAAACTCATGTATTAAATTATTTCTGTGATGGTAACTTTTATGCAGCTCAACTCTGTATTGTCCATAAAAGACCAAGCACACCACTGAATAAAAACCAGAAATACACAAACTACTCATGAGCAACAAGAAAGTACTGAGAAAAAAAAGTGTTCTCAAACTATTAATATAAAAGATGAGAAAAGTCCAGTGACATGCCTACCAAATAGCTTTCTTTTAAACTTTTACATAGTCGGTTTTATTTATTATGTCTACATTTATTTATTATGTCTAAATTCTGAATTGTCTTATAATAGGAATGAACTTTGTGATTCCTTTCTACAGAGCTGAAGCTACTGACAAATCCTGACACTGCAACATGACTAGAACATAATCAACTTCTAACCTAAAACCTTTGGCTCTTCCTGTTCACACTCAAAATGCATTATTCTCATCAACCTGAGACCTGGATTTCCCGAGGACAGAAGGAGTTCTCTACAACCCTAACTTACACACAGCTGCAGAGCTCACTAGGTGAAGGTCTTTGGCAAATGTTATTTGAAAAATGTTACATGAAACTCATGTGTACAACCTTAATTCTCTGTCTCAAAGTGTATCAATACATTTAGAGAAGGATATAAAAATTCCAATGAAAGCTCATGAGGCAAGCTGCAACAATTACATATCTCAAGAAACACAATGAATACTTAGGAGAAAAAATAAACGTGTGTTAGTAGAAACTTTTTGCAGGATTGCTGAGACTCAACCAACAACCACTGCATTAATTCTGAGGTGTTATACTAGCTGTACAAGAAGCTGTTGGCTGTTGGGCACTGACATTCCACACCTACAAAAAGGCAGTGGAGAGACCTTCATTGGCCTAAAGCTGAAGCAGGGTCTTCATCTCTGCTCCTGCAGAGGAGACACTCAAACAACTTTGTCACGTGGACAATGCAGGGAAGTTTGGCAAACCATGCTGTCAAGTCATTCAGACATGCACATGAAATATTAAGGTCCCAGTTGCATTCTTAAGAGAATTTTAAAATCACTACAGTTATTTAGTCAGGATATTACAGAGGAAAAAAAAAATCACAGGGCAACAATGTGTTCTTAATGCTATTTTTGATCAGTATGACTCACACTTAGAGACTCACATAGAAATATGTGGAAGAAGAAGATTGGTCAGGATGGCTTCAACATATATTATTTATCCTAAGCATAATAAGTGTTGTCACAAACAGTATCAAAAATCAAATAAACATTTAAATTGAGCAAACGTAAGCACCTTCACATACAAAAGCCAAATATGCTTACTCTCCTTGACTGTAACATTTAATGTTATTAAATTTTGGGGGAATTTTTTAGAAGTTATTAACTTTGCTACATCTTCCTACTACATCTGAATAACATCTTTAAATAATAAAGGAAAAAACAATCTGGTTTAAATCCTTGGTATGTATCATAAATGCCCATACTTATTGATGTAGAGCCATGGAACAAGGATAAAATACCAAATATCACCTACTATTACCCTTGAATTTTTTTTTTTGCAGTTTTTCTATTAGTACATACTAGTGATTTGCCTAAACAAGTTTCACTTATAAACTCTTATAAGGAGTCCAGAATGTTGTTCATAAAAGTACCCAAGATAAATGTATAAACCAAAACTTTAAAAATTAATTTTTATGCTAAGGAAAAAAAAAAAAAAAACAAACAAAAAAGTTAACTTTCACATTCAATGTTTTAGTATTTGCTGGTAGGTTTTGGGTTGGGTTGGGATTTTGGGAGGCTTTTGGGGTTTATTTTGGGGGTTTTTTGTTGTTGTTTCTCAGTCTTTAATTTCTAAACAGCTTGAATCAGCTTTTCCAGCTATTGTGTAACTTATCTTTAGAAAGTAATCTTTTCTATACCACAACAACTTGTTGCCAAGAAGAGTAACTTGTGCAACACATTTATTTACCAAGAAGACCCTGTGATCCTGGGGAAGTCTCTTCCGTACAGCAAAAAGAAAACACATTGGTGGGCAAGCAATTTTCTCACTGAAACCACACCTTTCCTCACAAGCAATGCAAAACTTCCTGAACTACATGTTGTGCTAGAAAGCACTTTCTGCTTCTTCCATGGTATTCTTATTGGGCCTATCCTAACAGAATGACAATCCTGGATAGCACAAATTGATCTAATATTCCAGAATAATTTGAAAGGGCACATAAGTGGGCAATCTTTTCTTATAAAAGACAGTACTTCAAGAAGAAGCAAGTTGTAAAGTTCATACAAATACTGAAAATAAAAGCAACCTTTTAACTTAAAGCTCATAGATGCATACATTTAACTATTCCCTCTTTTTGAATGGCTACTGTAGTTCACAAGGGGAGTATTGCACATTTTGAACAGAATGTTTATTTTATTAGTTGGAAATAAGCGAACAGAAGACTTTTGTTACATACAGGACCAAACCCCCTACAAAACACGCAGCTATAGCATGGTGTGTTACTTTCACACAATTTCACACAATTGTGTTACTTTCAGGAAATCAATTCATTTATGCATTATCCATGTCAAAATGAAAGTATGGCACAGGAAGTGTTCAGTCAGTGCATGTCCACGCTCTTTCACCCTCCAGTGTGGACTACAGAAAGCAGCATGTCCAAGCCATGAAAGCTGCCTAATATTGGGTCTCTGTTTCAAAACTGAAGGAAAGCTAGGCTACCATGTTGCCAAGTCCACATCACCTGTTGCATTAACAGCACAAAATGAAACTGTAAGCACACAGTTACAAGAAACTGTATCATTTTCATACTCAGAACAGCACGGAAGCTTCAAATGCATTTTAACACAATCCACTTTAGTAATGGTTCATCATTTCCAAAACTAGTGAGTACTTCGAAGTTATTCAGCAAATAATACTTCTTGGGCATAGAAATTGTTATTCAGTAGTTCTCTTTAAACTGGGAAAACCTGCACCCAGAAAGTGAAAGAACACACAATCACCAGGAGTCAGGCAAATATCAAGTAGTCTGAGGGATCTTTTTGCTATAATAGAAACTTCAGATACATGTTGTTGCAAAATGCAGTAGGAAGTCAAGATACGGTTTCTGGTCAGGGTCTTGCACACAGAAGCTTGGATTACAAACAACTGCAAAGCTCTAGTGAGTGGTTTTGAGGCAAACTTTAAAAAACACATCAGAGTGTTTTCCTTTCACAAAGCATTTGTTCTAATGTCAAACAGTCAACAATTTCCATTACATTATCAAGGCTACCCAATCCTTATAACTGTATCAACTTGAACTGGGGCAAAGTTAAAAGTAGTACCTGTGTGAATTCTCATCTAACTCCACTAGAATAGCAGCATTTTGCTCAAAAACACATGATCTGCCCCCAAAATGCAGAACAAATGAGGGAGTAGAATACTGAAATACTACCTGTGAACCTATTTATGAAACTAAGGAGATTACTGAATCCTTTCAAAACTACTCAGAGCAATGCAGCACAGAATAAACTGTCTAAAACAAGACAGTCTTGTTAATATTATCTGTGTTTACACACACACCATGCACTCACATCAGACTGAAAAAAAAAGAGTTATTCAAACAATACACGTAGCCTTCTAGGAAACAGAGGCATCTTATCTCTGAAGTTTTTCTTTGGCCCTTATTTGAACTTGACTTACTGGTTTCATCCAACCAAAATATATCCACGTGGACTATAATTAGTAATCCAATGCAATTAAAGATATTGGGGTTCACTTATAGGCTCCTACCAAAATTTAAAAAAAAATTCAAAACATCAAAACCATATAGTCCTACAAACTTAAGTAGTACACTTACTTTAAAAGCCAAAATAAGCTTCCTTTTCTACCTCATGTACTCTCTTTCTGTATTCCTGTAAACAAGCAGATCTTGCCTATAAGCTGGCAGGAGATCATGCTCAAAATGTTACTTGTCATAAGTTAAGGTCTACTTATCTGCATGCTTCTTGCCTTGAGAAGTAAAGCCCTCTATGTGCAAAATGCAGGGAAACATGTTTAGCAAAGTTTTAGTAAGATCTAAACAAACATTAGCAGAAGAGACTGCTCTATGTTTCTTCAGTACTGAAAAAAGTTGGCAGTGCAGGTATCAGACACATAATTTTTGAAATAAAACCCTTAAACAGAAACTGGGACACGTTTTCATAAAATTTACGAGATGATGTAGATATATGCAAGGAGCCAGTCAACTAACAACTACATTAAAGAAAAAAGCAAAACTAGAATAAAGGTCAAGAGAGATTAAATTGTTTATCCTTTCCACCCACAGGAAAATAAGATTTCTCTTCTTTTTTAACGTTTAATCAACGTATCATGGGAGAACGTGAAACAGTCCTGGCTATTTCACGCCTCTTGGATTCCCATCCAGAAGTAAACTAAGAAGCGGTGCCCATACAAAGCAGCCCCGCAGCCTATAAGCCCGGTAGCGCTCGTTACATCACGATCATTTGCATTTAAACTACAATATATAGCGCTGCGATCCGGCTGCCAGCCAGAGCCGGCGGCGGCGGCAGCATCATCATCATCCCCATCACCACCATCATCACCATCACCATCCCCATCCCCTGCGCGAGGCGCTGCCACCGGCGGCCCGCGGGGCGCGGAGCTATTCTTAGCGCGGCGCTGCGCGGGCACCCGCGCGCGCGCACAGAAGTTCCCAGCGGATAAAATCCCGCGCTAGTCCCGGCACCGGCGCTCCCGCCCGAGCGCCCCCGCCGCCGCCCGGCCCCTCCCGCCCCGTACCTGCAGAGGCGGCGGCGCCGCGGGCGCTGCTGCGGAGCCCGAGGGCGGCGGCGGCGGCTTCGGGGGGGAGAAGGGGAGGGAGGGCGCCGCTGCCTCCTCCCCTGTCCCCCCGCCGGGCTCGGCGGTCCCTGGCGGCCGGTGTCTCCGCGGGGGCGGGAGGAGGCGGCTCCGGCCCCAGGGCGCTGGCGGCGGCGGCTACATGGAGCTGCGCGCCCCGCTACGCAGGGAGGCGCCCGGGCGGGCAGCGCGGCCGCAACATCGATGCGCGGGGTCAGGAGGGCGGCGGCGGCGGCGGCTCCCCCCCGGCGCACTCACCCCGGAGCCGCCCGGGCCCCGCTCTCGGCTCCTCCCGCCGCCTCCGCCGGGCTCGTTATTGACTTTCAGGAAAACTCCCGACGTCACCGGCTCCCCCCGAGTGTCTCCCCCTCCGCGGCGGTGGCGGCGGCGGCGGCGGCATCCCCGGCTCTCGCGAGAAGCGCGGCGGGGACGGGGGGGCCGCCAGACAGCGCGGGGGGAGCCAGACAGAGGGGGGCGGCTGAGGTGAGGGTGGGGGGGCGGCGGCAGCGAGGGAGGAGGAGGAGGAGGAGGAGGGAGCGGCGGAGGGAGGAGGGAGGACGGGGGAGGCGAGGCAGCCCGCCCGCCCGGCTGGCAGGCAGGGGCGGGAGCCGAGCGGAGCGGCGTGTCCCGTCCCGCCGCCGGGCCGCGGCTGGGAGCGGGAGGATGGATGGATGCGGGCAGCGGCGTTTGCCGGCGCTGCGGCGCGCCGCGCCCGGGTCCTTCCTTTCGGCATCGCGGCCCCTCGGCAGCCCCGTGTGCGCGTCCCGGGGTCAGTTCCCTTTGTTCTCGCACCCTGCAGTTACACAGCCCCCCGCCCCGAGCTGGCCCTGGTACCCGGAGTGGTCCCCTCGGCTCTGCAAACTCCTCCGGGAGCAGAACTACCAGTTACGCCGCAGGAAGCCGTAATTCATCCCTCGCTGAAGTGTTCAGTGGATGCGCCAGCCTCAGTGTTGCTAAATTGTCCTCAGGCTTCGCCGGGTAAATAAACGCCTGGGGAAAGCGTGCACCGGCGCTCCCGAGCCTCCGGCTCTTCCCGTTGCCACAAGCGGAGCCGGAGCGGGGCCGGTGGCAGCGGAGCAGCCGCGCTGCAGGGTGCTGAGCTCTCCCGGCTCGGCGGAGCTGCCTCCGGGCTGGCAGGCCGGGGATGCCCGGCCTGCTGTGCCCGCCGCCGCCGAGCCTGGTCCTGCACCCTAAGCAGTGCCTGGGCTTCATTGCTACGGTGCCCTCCGCCCTGTGTTCCACGGCTAAGCGGCTGTATGTGGGTGCTTGCAGGAGTTTAGTGCACATAAAGATGTCTTCTATTGTTTATGGGTGCAGTAATACACACAAATTAATTTTCTTTAGAAATGCATCTATTTATAACGCAGTTCACGCTGGCCTGTGTCAGAACCTGTTACTGCAGAGGATAAATAGGTATTTTGGATTGCTTGAAATACAACTATTTGCTCTGTTTCATCAGTGCAGATTTTTTTGTAAAAAATGCACGTTCATGGAAATTACATTAAAAAGAAAAAAAATATTTCTCTAGCATGAATTTCACCTTTAATTTCTAAGTTTTTCTTCCTCTCATATGCCATCATTTACAACTCTTTGAAACATCAGACTTCCTATTATCTGTACCACTACAGGGCTTCAGAGAGATTTTTTGAGAATCTAAATAATCATATGAGTTGGCACAGGACTGGAAATTTGCCTCCGGGGGCACTGAATCCTTTCCCTGCTGCAGCAAGCAACCACACTAATAATCCCATTCATAAATATGCTGAGTTTCCTCTTAGAACTATGAAGTTTGTTTTCTGCACTGTGCTCACTAGCAGGCTACAACCTAAGCTCTATGTCCCCCTAACTCTGAAGAAAAACAAAATTTCAACTGTATTTGATTAATGCATCTTTTTGAAAAATTAGTTAAAAAGGACCTTGCCAAGCATTACTTCCTTTCCCAGAATTTACCATTCGGTCTTCCTCCTTCTCAGAAACACTTTAGTAAAGTGAGCATCTTATTAACCATCAATATTCACAGAGAACCATAGTATCAATTATTAAAATGTGTTTAGTCCCTAATGTCTCCTTTGATCATTGCTACTATGCTGCTCCTGAAAAACGGAAGGTGTAGGTCTTACAACTTGCTTTCTGTTTGCTGCAGTTCCTCCGAAGGGCTCAGAACCTAAGGCAGCATGAAATCTGCATGGGCAGTAGCTGATAGACTGCCAATCAACTGTTCAGGTGCCAAACGCTGAGTGTGAAATCCGGGCCCACAGAAAGTCCTGGTATTTGGTATCACTCAGGTTATTCCTGCTCTCTGTTAATCCCTGCCACTCACAGCTGCAAATTTCTTATTAATAAGTATGTGTGTATGGTTGGTCATCCTAATTGATGCCTCTAAATCTTCAAAAGGCAGCTATGAAATACTTCCCTTATGACAACAGTGAGTTTGCTTACATTTATAGATACTTGGTGTAAATCACCTAAAAGCACATTTATATACTTTTTAAAAGAAAAAAACCCTTGCACCATGCAAAGAAAAAAAAAATTAACATTTACCACAAGGAGAGTTAGTCTTCTGCACTTTTATTTTGTTACTGATTGTTGAAAATGAAACGGTAGGATGAAATCTGTCATGTTGATCTGGAGCTTAAACATGTATTTTTCAGCAAAACCTGATTAGTAAAATTTTGTTATATCTATGAGATATAGACAACTATTCACAGGTTAAAAAAATTTATTCAGTATGACTTTGAAATCAGATTCATTATCTTACCCCTTATAAATCAAATATCAGCACTCTGTTTTTGAAATTCATGGTTTCTAGTTACTCTTAAGTTTTTGATCCTGCTCAGCCTCATATATTGACCTCAGTGTGCTGAATCTGAACTGATACTTTTTGTGTGGATTATTAAATATACTATAAAAATAAGTGCTGCTGTGCAATGATTTTTTCTCTCTATAGAACATATAATAATTTTATTCCTTAGTATCATACCTCAAGGCTTCAAAATGATTTCTTGTAAGGAGTTAATCGCTGTAAATTGGGCAGAAATGACCCCTTGATTAATAACCAAACAGAGGTATACCTCTTTCAGAAATAAAATGGCTGTGATGTACATACTGTGAACATAATGAGGTTGTAGGTTCTGCAGAAATGACATAATTTTCAGATTAATTACAATGTGACATGAATTTAATGAACATATTAACAGCATATGCTAATGAAGAAAGTATTGAGTTCACATGAGAAGGAGAATAAGGCTGCATGTAATTTCAGGAAAAAATGGGAGCCTCTGATGTGACATGTTCCAATTACAGTCCTGAAACCAAACAAATAAAACCCATCCATTGTCATCTATCTGGCACCATCAAGAAGCTTGATAAACTTTTATATGATCACTTGTAATCATTATTTCAACAGATACCAAAAGGAAAACCTACAGATAATCTCAATATAAACCTGTCCATTCCAAGTCAAAAAAGGGTGTATCTCTTGTTTCCCTTAACATGTTCATATTAACTATTATCACTGACAGAGTGATGGGAACTAAGATTACAGAGATTTACAACCCGAAAACAAATAGTTAAATAGGAGAGAAGATTCTGCCTGCAGAATCAGTTCTCTCTGCCTCTACGGGTAGCATTGCCTTCAGTTTAATTTAGTTTCTTGTTTCTCTTTTCTCTAATAAGCTCTGCTTCCATGTAAGAATGCATAAAGAAAAACAAAACAAAACAATACAAATCAAGACAAATGAAACAATTTGAAGTGTAGAAGTTTCATTAAAAAAAAAGAAGAATAAAAAATGGACAATGGGTCAGATTACAATCTCTGGTGTTAAACTCCCTATTACTGTGCCTTGTTATTGTTTGAAAAGCACACACAAATGTCAGTGGAAACTAACAGGACAGCAATGAAATTTACTCTATGGAAAATTATGCTTAAAATATATGTTATGCATTTCTTTATAGTGCAGTTAAAGTCTTGCTTGCAAACGTTGTGGCTTATTTTTCACTTATGTGTGTAGCTCTTAAAAACCTGAAACGCCTCTATTAGCGAAGTTCAGCTACTTCAAGGGGTGAACCTGTTCAGCTTATGTTGAGCTCTGACTCTGCATTCTCTGTGCTGCTGTGTGCACAGAGACACTTCAGAACTTTAACCACTGCCATTGTAGTCATCTCACGGCAATTGAATTTCTAAGAACAAGAAAGAACTCATGGTAAAGCTGTACAATTCAGAAAAGACGTAGGAAAAATATTGGCAGCGGATGTTGGAATCTGCTGGATACGAGGGGGAAACAGAACTTGTGGTCAGTTGAATTTTACAGTTCATATATTTACCCTTTCTGTTGCATTCATTTCTGAGTAACTTTATTGCTTTAATCTCTTGCTTCTTTGTCTGTAGTCTCTTGGCATTTATTTATTTAATTTTGTTATTTCTGCTTCTGCAGCTGCCTTGGAGGGCAATATTCCATTCCATGTCCCCAGATACCTGTGACACAATGAGGTTAAAAAATTAGAGAGAAATTTATTTATTTTTCGTATAAAAACAGTTGAGAAAAAAGCCCTCAACCTGGACTCTGGATTTTGTGTCTGCACACTGTTTTGCTACACAAGTCACCAGTTCCATGAAACTGCTTCTGCTCCAATATCAGTGGATGGCTGGGCTGGCTTTTGTTGCTGTTTGGCTCCTACACAAAATTTTCTGGATACAGAAAGTTCTCCTTTGCTCAGATGGTCACAGTTCATCAGTGCTTACAGAAGTTAAGCCCTTATGAACTCATGTAGATATATAATCCTACTATGATTATTAATAGTATTTTCATACTAGTATTATTAATGTAGACCTACAGGTTGTAGGCTATTGTGAATACACAGTAAAGCAAGATAGCAATAAAAAAATCATTTTGTCCACCTATATATGGCTAGCAGTAATATAATTATGCTGAACACAGTAGAGACTGGATATAATGCTGTGTAAATATCAGTTGATTGCATTTATTTTGCAGCATGTTATTCTTGCTTTATTATTTATCCTCTGAAGATTTTAAAAAGTGTTTTCCTTCCCCTTCTTTCCCATACTCCCACACACTGGAGGTCTACAAACAGTGTGAAAGGCACATGCCCTGCCCCAGTGACCTTAACCTGCTTTGAAACCAGATATGACAGTAAGGATAACAAACAACAGGAGAGAAGGATGGGAAGAGGGCAGTAAGATTACACAGTTGCACAGCTTAGCTATACGCTTAACTTGATGTATAGGCATTCAGCCGAACTTGGAAATTTTTTCTCAGTGAGAAAATAGTTTCCATGGTGCACAGATTTATCTGAGGGAGGTCAATCTACTACAGAAGCAACTTGGAAAAATTAAAATGCCAGCCCTTCCGCCTGAGCTTTTTCTTCCCTCTTTCCTATCCTATTTTAATTTCATCAACACAGATAAAATATGTCTTTGAATAAAATTCTGCAATTACTACCATGCAGTGATTTCTCATACAGAACCTTATCTGTGTCCTGGTCTCACTTAATTGAAGTCAATGAGAAAATGGCAGTTGAAGCTAGTTAGGAGGATCAAGTCTGTAATGCGTGAGCAAAATCAAGGAGCACAAAGCTTAATGGACAGAGGAACAGAATTTTAAACAAATGTCTCCTCTTCAGAGGTTTTGTGACTAGGAACATTTTTCCCCACGTGGCCCTGAGAGGATCACAGCAGCACGTCTGCCCAAAGAGTCAGGAAGAAACAGTTGAGGAGAAAGCTGGCTGTTGATGGAGAGGAAGCCATCTATTGCCAGGTTTAGTCCAGATCTTTGCCTTTACTTGGAACATTGCTCTGTCTTTGGCAAATTGATTAGTGTGGTGCAGAGCCCCTTCCTCTTTTAGTGTGTTCCTTGGAGCACTTTTCTCTGCCCCTTGCTACCATGCAGACTTCACAGTGTGATTTGCTGGACAGCTTCCCTACTGTATCAATCACCTCGTTTGGAGCTGACAGCCCTCCATCTTTTCAATCTGTAAAAGAGTGGCTGAAGTACAAGGAAATCATTTCAGTGTCAACAAAAAAGAATTCCATTAGACTAGACTGTGGGCTACCCTCATTCCCAAACACCACCCTCGATCCATTATGTGTCAGAATGTACCTGCATTTTCTGGAAACAAAGCTGTGACATGAAATCAAAGAATTAGCAGGAAAGTTTAGAAAATGAAGACAGATTGGGGTTGCAATAACAAGGACCTCCACAGATCTGATAAGTATGTTCTTGTTAATAATGAAAAAGAATGAGGTATTAAAATATTAATGGAACATTCATTAATAGTCGTCAGAAATGAAGGACAGATTGCCTTGAAGACTTCACTTACTTTACACCATTTTGCCTGATTTAATTGGATATAGGCCTGCTTTGTATTAGGCAAAGAAAACAAAAGATAATGCTGAATCTGTCCCTTCCTACATACCTTTTGAATGTGGTATGAAATAAGAGGGATGGATGGCTACAGTAAGGTTTTTCAGCCAAATTTGTTAGCAATCTGTTATGCAAAACTTCATGGTAACAGAAATCTGATCAATTACTGACCTCTTTATGACTTTATTTACCATGAGCTGAAAGAAAAAAAAATGTGCATAAGCAAAGAATGGCAAGTTGTGACTAAGTGCAAGAGACAAAAGTATTCATCCATCCTCTCCTAATGCCAAGATTTGAACAGGGTGCTCCTGAGCAGATGGTTTAACAGACTAAAGCATTAGTTTGCTGATCCTCCGTGCTTGCTAATTAATTCTTCAGTTTACTAGGATTTAAGATGATTGTTAAAAACAAAGCTTCTCTTAAAATAAACTTTAGGTAAATGTTACAAAATGGTGGTTAAGATTCTAATTTCTGTAACAAGAATGCTGTGTATTTTCTAGAAAAAGTGTTAATTATCTAAATGTCCTAAGTGGTATCCTTAACACTGCTATCTCTGAAATTTTCTTCTTAAAAGAATTGCTTTTGTTTTCCTAGTTAATTAATCCTCTGACTTCCTGTTGACATTCTTGGGTCAAGATTATGTCCTTGACTTCTGTGAGAATGGTATACATACAATAATGGAAGGGTTTAATTTTTTGTAGCAAAATTGTCCTTTCCCCCTGAATTGTTTTTAAGCCCATTATCATGCAAAATGTAAAAACTGTAATATCTCCTTTGTTGTTTTTATAGTCATTGTTATTCTAAACAGCCAGGATTTCATGTAGTAATTTATTTCAGTTAAACATTAAAATGATGAATTCTCATTAAATTTATTAAAATGCAGTGTTGTAGAGTAGCTTGCTTTCTATTAGATTTAGGCAGTGGGCAAATAATTAATTTATTTTAGATTTCATTTTTATAGCAGCTTTATAAACTGATGCCAATTTGATAATAGAAGAACTCCCCTCAATAGGAACTGCAGAATTTATAGCACGGAAATGGAAAAAAAATAATCAAGAAAAAATATTAGAATGAAATAATATTTTACAAAGTAGAAAATAGGAAAAAAAAACCACTTGGGGGAAAAAAATCTCCACTTGCTAAAGCTAAGGCACAAATTTTGAAGATGCATGTGTTGCTTGGAAAGGGTAACCCATGCCAGTATTGATGGACTTCAAAATTTGTGAGTGGACTCTGAGAAGGTCTCTCCAGATGGTTCATGATGGCTTAAAAGGAGCTCCTCTGACATGGTCTTGCTTTGACACAGGAGATGCTGTGAAATTCTGCATCTGATTTTCGTGTCCTATTCTGTTACCTGTGAGCTTGCATGTCTTTTGTGATATCTTCCTTCAGGTAGGGGTTTGGATTTACTGGTGAGAATGCAGATATTTATGTTATCTCTGTAACTCTTCCTTCTGTCAGAAACATTATTGGTTGTTTGTTATGT